GGTCAACACTTTCCCATATCGGTACACAATGATCCTAAGTCAAAGCTCGCTGCGTAAGACCCTAGCACGAACCACGTCGTCCGAAAACCCATAAATCGTTATATTTCCTCTGGAGCACCTAACAATGCTGCAACCGAGATACCCCCTCTAAAGAGACTTTCTATGAATCTGAAGATATTTCTCTAACCTCTATGATACTGGAATGTAGATTTATCAATGATACAGGTATACTGCAAGTTCCAGCACCATCCCATGAAAATATAAGATCTTAGTCATGTACAATTCCGGGGAACCCCTCAACACTGCATATATACCTCAGCCCCAAGACTGATATGATATTTGCCCATGCAATATAATCGTCGATATTAGACTCCCCCACTTAGCGCAGAGTCATAGGGCACAACATCCGATGATCCATGTTACTAACCTTCATAAGCTCGTACAACACCAATCAGATACACGAACCAGTTGCATCCCACACTCAAACAACTTAAGATCTACCAATACGTCCTTAGTCTGGACAATACCTCGAGACAATGATCGAGCATCCATGGCCCCCTCGTAGCCCATTCGCAGCATTACAAACCGTCGGAGCATAGCTGATACCGAGAGCACAATTGACAATCAATTCACCAAGTTATAACGGAGGCACATATTAGCATGTTAAAGCAACACAACAAATCACGTAGAATACTTGACTCACACAAGAAACCACAATCATTCCAACATCAAGATAACAATGAATAACCAAACACAACCAAAATGCGGATGAATTATTGGAGGAAAAAACAATGACCGTTCAAATCAACAAGTTATTCCAACATAGAATGTACAATGAAAATCACAACTGAGGTACAACCTCGTATTCATATTTTACAATTTAAATCACAATCTTTCCTTATATCACCGCGCGAACCTTACATTTAGTTTTGTAAATTATTTTTTTCCCCGAAATAGCTACACGCGTTTTAACTCACCTTATCTCACCGCGTGGCTTCAAGTAGTTCCCCTACTAGCAACACACATATCAAGCCCACCTTATCTTATCGCATGCGTATCAACCCCTAGCCTTATACCATCGCATGTATATCAATATCATAATACAATCACAACTCGCACCACAAGTGCCCATATGCCACAACTTGCCACAAAGTCAACAACACCAATATTTCCATAACAAATAACACACGGCTCAACCGCAATGTGTATAAGAATTTCAATAATAACAAAATAAATGAGAATGCTCAACAAGGAAAGGCATATCAACAATTAACAAATTCTCCTCAATGTGATAACGGCCATTACAACTTCAACACTAATAACACAACAGGATGATATTCCACAAAATAACAACTTCAATTAAAAATGATTCAATAATTAAGAGGTAACAAGACAATAAGGAAGGAAATAACTTCAACTAAAGTATATAAGAACAAAATAATAAGTAAGAGGTAGAACAAGTGCTAACAACATCAAATAGAGCATGTAAGAGTAGATTGATAATGAGAGATATGACATATTATGACAATTCAATTAAAGGCATGGAAACAGTCTAGATAATTTAAACCTGCCTAATACCACATATAGCTCGTGTACCCACTCGTCTCCTTGCTTACACATCTTTCACATAACACAAATAGCACAATCAACCCAAATCCTAAGGGGTAGTCCCCCACTCCCCCCCAAAGTTAGGCTAGATACTTACCTCAACTAGGACAACTCAACCCTCCAAAATATCTTTTCCTCTAAAATCATCCTCTATGCGGCTCAAATCTAACAAAAAATAACTTAATAACATCAAACAATGCAAGAGAAACCAATTATAATAAATAAAGTTATGATCTTTACACTTTCCCCAAAAAAGTCAACAAAAGTCAACGTTGGCCCCGCCATGGATTTCGAATCCAAGCTTACCCGAGCAAAGCCCGAACCAATACAAGCTCACACGAATAAAAAACGACTCAATTGGGGTCCGATAGCTCAATCAATTCGCCAAATATCGCTCTTGGGTATTCATAACCCAAGAGTCCAACCTATACTAGTTGGGTCCCATATCTCTTGAAATACTCCTCCAAAACTCGCCAAATTCGAGTATGTTGTTCTCCTAATATATGAGAACAAAACCCCAAAAGGAATCGGGAAATAAACGCCTCTTACTCAATTTTAATTTTTAAAATTTAGGACATAACCCTAGGTCATTTAAAGAATTAAATGAGTTTTCAATTAAAATCATGGATTAAAACTTATACCAAGGGAATGAATCAGAGGAAAATACTTAGGTTATAGTTTAGACCTTACCCTATGGAAGAAACTTGAAGAACATCTTTGAATTCTCCCAATCTCAAACTTTCAAGATGAGAAAAACTCCAACAACATTAATAGCCAAAAATGCCCGGCTGTTCTGCCTCGTTTCTTATGCCAAACGATCCCAAAACATGCTTTTGATGCCTCTAATGGATTCCTCATAAAATTTCAGTCAAGTTAAGCTTTTAAATCACTCCATTTGACCTTATAATTAAGGCGATATGTTGATTTCAATATTTGAAAATAGTACAGATTTTTAAATACAAATTCAGTGGCAATTTAGTAATTAATCTGAAAAACGTAGCAACCCAATTCCTAGTAAAATGACCATAAATTCCTCATACGATTTTAAAACTTGATGATTTAAGTTGCTCTAGTTTTAAAATTACAATACGGATATAATAGTTTAGTCGAAATACGAATCAATAGCTGTTTGCTCAATATGGTAACCTTTATGCTCAAATCGATGTTGAAACCGAAAACAATCACCATACAACCCAAATTTATCCAAAACTCATCGGAATTTAATCAAAATTTGTGGACATATCTAAAATCATCATACAAACTTATTGGAATAATTAAAATGCGATTTCGGTTCCGTTTACCCAAAAGCCAAACCTTGGTCAACTCTTCCAACTTAAAGCTTCTAAAATGAAAATCATTCTTCCAAATCAATCCCGAACCGCTCGAAAACCGAAACCAAATATACACACAAGTCATGATACATAATATGAAATTACTCAAAGTCTCAAACCACCGAATGGAACGCTAAAGCTCAAAACGGCTGATCGGGTCGTTACAGCTTGACACTCATTTGAGGCTTTTAGATTGAATTGTGGACCGGTAAGAGGATTTGAAAATGAGGTAAGTCTCTTGCCTAACTTTGTAAGATAGAATTATCCCCGTAGGTATTTTAAATAGTTATTTGCTAATAATTGTGGGTGTTATGTATGCACGATATGACGAGAGTCCGTACGTAGCTAAAATCATGCTTATGTCCGAGTAGACTTAGGATTTTACCATGTATTACATGTATTATTTGCAACCAACTTGTTAGTTTAATTACTTGAATTTATAGTTGAAATTGGATAAAGGATTTTATGAGACCGAGCTTCATTACTTTGAGTTTTGGCGGGATACTTGATGGTTAGCGAAAATTATGCCTTCTTTGAATACTATTCCTATGTAGTAGTGGTTGATCAGAGTTTGTAGAGTTTCTCTATTCCTGTGGATTGGGCTGAACGCCTCGACAGTATGTTAGATGCATCTATGGTTCGCGCCGGTCGAACCTCGGCAGTGTACATACTATTCTGGATCGGGTCGTACGACCCCGGCATAAATCGTACGTGATATTGCTCGGAGTCCGATTATACTTGATATTGTTTTCTTGATATGAGACTTAAAAATTACTTGGTGGCTCTTATGTGTTAAAGACCTGCCCTGTGATAGTTGGAGACTTTGAATTGATATTATGTTTAACAATAATTAATTATTGTTTCTTATTTTAGTGTTATTGTTGTATTTTCTGCCTATTTATGATTCTTACACTTTATTTATTAACCTCTAGTAAGTGTCGATGTCGACCCCTCGTCACTACTTCTTCGAGGTTAGACTAGATACTTACTGGGTACATGTTGTTTATGTACTCACGCTACACTTCTGCACTAATCGTGCCGGATCTGAGGCATGTGCATCTGGTGTCCAGTCAGGCGCATACCCCCACTACCCGGAGACTTAGTGGTGAGCTGCTTCCTATGCTCCGTCTGTAGCACCCAGAGTCTCCTCCTTGTTGTATTTACTTTTCTGCCTATCTTACTTCAGACAATAGTATATGAGGTTTTGTATATTCTACTAGTTTGCTCGTGCACTTATAACACCGGGTTTTGGAAAATTCTAGTAGATATTCATGGTTTTTTGTTTATTAATTTTACTACTTCACTCTTATATGTACTTTATTTATGCTTTTTGTTACTACGGTCACCTACTATTTGATTCTTTATTAAATAAAATCAATGACTTTGATAATATTAAAATGAACAATTAAATGGATAGTTCACCGTTGGCTTGCCTAGCGACGACGTTGGGCGCAGCCACGATCTATAGTGGAAATTGGGTCGTAACACCAAGGATAATTAACTAAAAGACATCAAGTTGCACTGTTCGCTTTTTCCTTTGTCAAATGTATAAAGATGCTATATAGAGAACAAGATAACTCAGGAAGGAACAAAAATTGAACTAGATTGTCAGAATTTATAGAGTATTACTGGTGCAACAGACCAAGATATTTTATAAATCCTCTGCAGTTTGTTGTCACTTGTCTGATATTCTATACCACTAACCATTAGTTTTCAAGGGCCCGCAGGGAATCAGGAAGCAAAAAACCAACTGATTCAACAAATGACAGCATTATTGTTTCGAATAAATACTAATTCCGTTTCAATTTATTTGAACCTATTTTTTTTTGGTCCGTTTTAAACAAATAATTCCTTTCTAAATTTGGAAATAATTTTGCTTAAACTTACAATTCTATCATTAATGAGAAGTTTTTATAATCACACAAATATTCTGGATCCATTTTTGAATTGTTTAGGACCATACATTCTAAAAGTTTTCTTTTTTTCTTAAAAGTCGTGCCCAATCAAACAAGTTTACATAAATTGGAACGGGAAGAGTAGTTTATTTGGAGATTCTGTTTTCTGCCGGTTGCAAAACCGATAACATTAATCTAACACCTTGATTTCTCAAATAAGAAGGAAAAGAAGAACAAATTTCAAGGGAAATGAATCCATGCCATATTCATCATAAAAAGATTACGTGCACAGATTTAGTAACTTGAAGTATCACACAACAATGAAGCTAAATGCAAAAATACAATATCTTATGATCATTAATCAAACACTTCACCATTTGTGATGTGTAGATAACCATTTGAGAAGACCAGTCAACTTTCTCCCAACATTGCGATCTGCCAATTCCGAGTTCTAGGAACGTCCATAACAGGTTCTGAAGAAATTTCGATTTGATCATTTGAAACGGAGACGTTTTGGGATTTAGTTGAATTTGCACGTCAAAAGTCTAATTTGGGGTCAACACACCACCGCCGCCGCAAACCCTTTGTTCCGTTCAACATCAGAATCTCGCCGTCACCTTGTACTAACTCCATCACCATCTCAATCACCATCTCCGTTAGCCGTCATCCTCTACGATCTCGGTTTCTAAGACCTGGCCAACGCATCTCTCAACGCCAACATCTCCACCATTAATTTCCCACTTACCATTTTCGCCCCTACAGATTCCTCCCTCCGCACTTGCCCTTCTTGTTCCCTTCCCCTGCTTCTTCAAGAACATTCTGTTCTTGGTCTCTACTCTTTCCTCTTCCTCTGTAACCTAGCTTTTGTTACAAAGATGGAAACTTTAGCCCTTCAGCCAGCTCGTCGCAATGCATCACCGCCGGCCAAATTTTCGTTAACTTGGAATTCAGGTTCTATTGTTCCTCACTTGTCTTGAATCTTTAGTTAGTATTGCACTAGGATTGTCAAATTAATTGTATTAGTGATAGCTTTGCCTACTTGTTTATATTGTTATCTACCTTTTTACATCTTTATTTTGAATCTTTATTTCATATATCCCTAGTAGTTCTGCTCTAGTTTTGTACATTTTCTTTTTGACCTTTAGATGTAGATTATAGTCCCCTTTAACTCTTTTATTGTATTTTTTCACCTATTTTTCTGTCCTTTAGTTGTAGATTATATTTTTCTTTAGTTCCTTTAGTTTATTTCTTCACCTGTTTTTCTGGCCTTTAGTTGTAGATAATAGTTTCCGTTAGTTCCTTTATTTTATTTCTTCACCTATTTTGCGACCATTAGTTGTAGATTATATTTCGGTAATTCATTTTATTTTTGTCTCTTATTTTCGGGATAGTGCTTGTATTGACTCCTAGATTATAGTGACTTTGGTGAACGATGGTAGGGTAATGTCTTGTCCTCGGGGGTGTCAGCGCGGGAGAGAGGGTGCTACTAAGCTGAGAGTGGGGTCTTGAAACATAGGAACTTTGACTGAAAATTCTGTAGAGTTAGCGAAGATTCTCGAGAAAAGGAAGATTAATATATCTTGTGTACAAGAAACTATGTGGGTAGGAGATAAGGCGCGAGATGTGGACAAGTTCAAACTATGGTATTCTGGGAGGGTGGGGGGCAGGAACGGGGTAGGTATCTTGGTTGTAAGGACCTCCGGGAACTAGTGGTGGAGGTTAGGATGGTGAATGATAGGCTGATGACTATTAAGCTACTTGTTGGAGGTTTTACTTTGAACATAATCAGTGCGTACGCACCCCAAGTAGGCTTGGATGAGGAAGTCAAGAGGCGTTTCTGGGAGGATTTAGATGAGATGGTGCGTGATATCCGGTATACTGAGAAGCTTTTCATAGGAGGAGATTTCAACGGCCACACTGGAGCAACGTCTGGGGGGAGGGGGGTATGATGATGTGCATGATGACTTTAGTTTTGGAGATAGAAACTGAGGAGGAACGTCTCTGCTGGACTTTGCTAGAGCATTTGATTTGGTGATAGCAAACTCGAGTTTCCCGAAGAAGAGGGAGCACTTGGTCACCTTTCGGAGTTCGGTGGCCGAGACTCAAATTGATTATTTACTCTGCAGGAAGTCCTATAGAGGTCTTTGCACGGATTGCAAGGTCATCCTGAGTGAGAACCTCTCGACCCTTCATCGGCTTTTCGTCATGGACTTTGAGATCACGAGGAAGAGGAGGAAGAGGGCGATGTATAGCCAACATAGGATCAAGTGGGAGCCTTCACTGAAGCTAAAGCACAGGAATTGGGGGTCAAGCTGTTGACTATGGGGGCTTGGAGGAGTAGTGGGGACGCAAGCGCTATGTGGACCACGCCTGCGCAGTGTATTAGGGAAGCCACGAGAGATATTAGGGGTCTCAAAGGGTTACTCTGGTGGTCACAAGGGAGACTGGTGGTAGAATGGAGAGGTGCAAGGAAAAGTGAAAACCAAGAAAGCAATGTATCTGAAGCTAGTGAAAAGTGTATACAAGGAGGAGAAGAGGGTGAATAAGGAGCATTATAAGTTGGCTAAGAAAGAGGCAAAGCTAGCAGTTACGGTGGCCAAGATTGCAGTTTTTAGTCATTTGTATGAGGAACTCGAGGGCCGAGGTAAGGATAAGAGGTTGTTTAGGTTAGCCAAGGCGCGATAAAAGAAAGCGCGTAACTTGGACCAAGTAAAGTACATCAAGGACGAAGAAGGTAGAGTTTTGTTGGATAATGGGCTTATCCGTCGGAGATGGCAGACCTATTTCCATAGTCTCTTGAACGAGGATGAGACAGGACCATTATATTGGGTGATTTGGAACTCTCTAGGAGTCGTTGTGACTTCGGGTATTATAGGCGGATTAGAGTTGATGAAGTTGAGGGGGCTATGCATAAGATGAGTAGGGGCAAAACGACTGGGCCGGATAAAATTCCGGTGGAGTTTTGGAAGAGTGCGAGCAAGGTAGGCTTGGAGTGGCTCACTAGGTTGTTTAATATCATTTTTAGAACGAAGGAGATTCACGAAAAGTGGAGATGGAGCACGATGGTTCCTATATACAAGAACAAGGGTGATATCCAAAATTGCAATAACTATTGGGGTATCAAGCTGCTTAGCCATACTATGAAAGTCTTGGAGAGAGTGGTAAAGCTAAGGGTGAAGAGGAATATGTCTATTTTCGAGAATCAGTTCGGGTTTATGTCGGGACATTCGACTACAAAAGCCATCCACTTTGTTAGGAGATTGATGGAGCAATATAGGGAGAGAAAGAAGGACTTGCATATGGTATTCATCAACTAGAAAATGCATACGATAAAGTTCCGAGAGAGGTTTTGTGAAGATGTTTGGAGGCTAAAGGTGTACCGGTTACCTATGTTAGGTTGATTAATGACATGTATGATGGAGCAAAGACCCGAGTGAGGACAGTGGGTGGGGACTCAGACCATTTTCCGGTTATGATAGGGTTGCATCAGGGATCGGCACTCAGCCCTTTTTTTTTTGCTCTGGCGATGGACGTACTGACGCGCCACATTCAAGGGGAGGTGTCGTGGTGCATGCTATTTGCAGATGATATTGTATTGATTAACGAGACGTGAGACGGTGTGAACGCGCAATTAGAGGTATGGAGGTAGACCCTGGAGTCTAAAGGTTTCAAGTTAAGCATGATCAAGATAGAATACTTGGAGTGTAAGTTCAGTTGCGAGACTCAACGAGGGGAATGTGAGGTGAGGCTGGACTCGCAGGTCATCCCTAGGAGAGGAAGTTTTAAGTACCTTGGGTCTATTATTCAGGGGGATAGGGAGATTGATGAAGATGTCACACATCGTATTGGGACGGGATGGATGAAATAGAGACTCGCTTCCGGTGTTTTGTGTGATAAGAAGATGCCACCGAAACTTAAAGGTAAGATCTACAGAGTGGTGGTCAAGCCAACGATGTTGTATGGGGCTGAGTGTTGGCCAATCAATATCGCTCATGTCCAGAAGATGAAGGTAGCTGAGATAAGGATGTTGAAATGGATGTGCAGGCACACCAGGTTAGATTGGATCAGAAATGAGGTTATTCACGACAAGGTGAGTGTAACCCCTATTGAGGACAAGATGCGGGAAGCGCGGCTTAGGTGGTTTGATCATGTGAGGAGGAGGAGCACAGATGCCCCGGTGAGGAGGTGTGAGAGGTTGACATTGGAGGGCCTACGGAGAAGTAGAGGTAGGCCAAAGAAGAGTCGGGGAGAGCTGATTAGGCAAGACATGACGCAACTTCAGCTGACCGAGGACATGACCCTTGATAGGAAGATATGGAGGTCGATGATTAGGGTAGTAGAGTAGGTAGTCTAGAGTGTTTATAATAGTAGTATTGGCATACAGTCTCACTTTCTGTTGGCAGTATATTTTTATGACTAACCTTTGTTTCCTTTCATTGTTGATCACCTTACTATCTTGTTGTTTTTATTTTGCTTTTATATGGCTTTTTGGTACTGTCCCTTCTTGTCTATATTTTCATTAATGTGGTGTTTATGCTTTCCTGAGCCGGGGGTCTATTGGAAACAATCTCTCTATCCTCACAAGGTAGGGGTAAGGTCTGCGTATACACTACCTTCCCCAAACCCCACCGTGTGGGATAATACTGGGTATGTTGTTGTTGTCGTATATAAACGTATCAAACTCACACGTCACAAGGACACCCTTATTCAATATCATTAATTTGATCACATTTTCCTTTATGCACACAAAGAATGGAATACATTCAACTTGAAGTTTTTGGATTTTGTACTATAGGCTCAATTCTTGATTTGGCTGCAGGAAACAAGCTCCTTCAAAAACCCGATACATGATTTCTGATCCATATTCTTCTATGAGAAAGCTAAACTCAACTTCTCCCTCTACACCAAATGAAAATCTTCAAATTAATGTAGTCTCCGTGGCACTTTAATGGTGGTATTATCCGAGCCTTCAGCAACCAAAACTTCTATATCATCATACAGGGTGGATGGATCATCTCCAAGAGTTGAAATGCTTTAATTTTGAGTGTCCAATACACTCCTGGTTGTTTTCTATTGTTGATCAAACATCATTTTCAACTGTTTTCCTTGTTCTTCAATCCTCAACTGTAACTTTTGCCGAATCTAATTACAAAGAAGACAATACGAATCAAATAAGATGTCTTGATTCATGAAAAAGTATCATGAATGAGAGTGACATATGCTAGCAAAACAAATTTGGTCCTAGTTTGCTAAAGGTGTGCTAAAAATAAAGTACCTCTAGTTGCTCGTGAAGATGCCTCTGGACTTCGAGCTGCATTTGCAGTGCTTCCTTGATTTGCATTCCTCTGCAACACAAGTTCGGATCAGATTTAGTTTCAGCTAAAGTTTATCAGGAAAATTAAATGAGAAAGTTGCAAAGGAAAATATACGTTTTGCTGTCGATCTGTACAACATTATTAGGACTATTTCTTGTTTTAGATGCGCCTGCAAGAAGAAAACTCTGAAAAGGGAAGTGAGTGTTATCGCAGTGTTCAGCATCCAAAACTTCTGTATCATCATATGGGTGGGATGGATCATCTCCAGGAGATGAAATGCTTGAATTTTGAGTGTTTAATAGACTTCTTGTTGTTCTTTGTTGTTGATCAAATATCATCTTCCACTGTTTTCCTTGTTCTTCAATCCTCAACTGCAACTTTTGCTGAATCTAGTAAAAAGCAAGACAATAGGAATTAGGCATTTAAGTGATACATACTGGTTAAAAAAAATTGGGTTATAAATATGCTGGGATCATACTAAAAATACCTCAAATTGCTGGTGAAGATGCCTCTGGACTTGGAGTTGCATTTGCAGTGCTTCCTTGATTTGCATTCCTCTGCAACACAAGTTTGGATCAGATTTAGTTTCCAGCTAAGGTTATCAAGACGATTTACTGAGGAAGTTGCGATAGAAAACACACGTTTTGTTATCAATTTGTGTCACATTACTAGGACTATTTATTTTTTCAGATTCTCCTGCAAGAAGAAGAAAAAAACTCTGATCAGCAATAATATTTCTCTTTTCAGATTACTGTTACAGAACATCAGATCAATGGTGGTTTAGGAAAAGCCAAATTCTTTAGGACTTCAGCAATATTTTGTCTTGAAACAAACAACTGTTTTGACAGAAATATTTACCTTGTGCTGGATCTGAGTTGCACTTCTTATTCAAGTCCATCAGCTTCAGTTCAGATTTGGTGTTGTCTCTGAATGATCAATGAATCACAATTAAAAAGAAATGGACTCTTTAACTTTTAAACATTCGGATAATTAACAAATTGATGAAGAATATCCCGAAATTATTTCATCCTGGATCCTGCATAGGATATAATATTACTAGGATGATTAATTAAAAGACATCATGAATATAAACTGTTTCCCAAGACAGATACCAGCTGTTTTTTGTATTTAAACTTCCTTTTCAAATGTTTAAAGATGCCAGATAGAAGAATATAACAACTCAAGAAACAACAAAAGAGAAACTAGACTGTCACAACAGAGTAATATGTTGAAACTACAAACCTCTTGGGCTAAATCAGCCTAAATACACTCTTAACATGGTGTGATATCGTCCGCTTTGGGCGAAGTCTGCACGGTTTTCTTCAAAAGGCCTCACACCATTTAGAGATCTCTACACCTTATATGTAGGCTCCCAATCTTTTCAGTTATCAATATGAGACTTTGTTCGCACATCCGACAAAACCAATCTTTTCAGTTACCAATGGTACTCATTAGCTGTTAGTATTTGCTTTAGAATTTACAAATGCCATGCAAATGTATCATTGGAGTTTCAGTTTTTTGCCGGTTCAAAGATAATAACAAAACCGATGACAACAATATATTACCTTGATTTCTCATCAGGGTTGTGTTCTGATTCATCAACAGCCGCCATAGAATCGACAAGATCCTTTAGAACATTTACTATTTGTCTAAGTATTATTCCTTTTCTTTCAAATGTGCTTTAAATTGAGTTTGAGGTTCATCTGGTCATTTTTAAAACAGGTAACTCAACACACTATTAGATTAATTAATTAATTATTGTTATCATAAAATGGTGATTAAGAAGGGGAGCCTTGACTTAACTGGTAATGTTGTTGCCATGTGACTAGGAGGGCACGAGTTCGAGCCGTGGAAAAGGCCTCTTGTAGAAATGCAGGGTAAGACTGCGTACAATAAACTCTTGTGGTCTGACTCTTCCCCGAACCCTGTGAATAGCGGGAGCTTAGTGCAGCGGGCTTCCCTTTTTTTTTCATTTATAAATGGTGATTAAATTGTAAAATTAGTTCTTGCACCTTGCTTTCTCTTGGTACTGTTTGAGAAAGTAAAAAAATCCAGAATCATATTATATCAACCTTTTACTTTCAATCTAATATTATTGTGCCATTATATTCCAAGTTTATAAAAGAACATACTAGTATGATTTTCCTTTGTGAGAAATCGAAAAAGGAATCCAAATGCTACTCCTGCTGCATTCTGCTTCCTTAATCTGCATGCCACTGCAAATGTATTCAGTATTTGAGGAGCCTATCGAAACAGGTTTAGACTAATAAGTAAAAAAAATCTATTTCATAAGAATATTTACCTTCTCCATCAGATATTCTTTAAAAAATAAAGTCCTTTGAGTCATCAGCTTCAGTATATCTTTGGTATTGTCTCTGAATGATTCATGCATCACAATTAAAAAATATAGTCTATTTAATATTTCGAGTTTGGATAAGGTAAAGGCCAAACCACACTGTTTCCTAAAACCGGCATCATCCTTTTTTTTTTTAAATTTTTGTCACGACCAAAAATCCCACCTTAGGAATCGTGATAGCACCTAATCTCTAAGACAAGGTAAGCCTAACACATGAGGAGTCTAACAGAGATAACCATCTTAACTATATAAAACTTAAACTGATAAATGAGTAACGTAACTAAAACTGAACAAATGCTATACAATTCCCAGAACCGGTAGTACAGAGTCATAAGCTCTACCGACATACACTAGAATTTCTTAATACAATATTGTTCTGAAATGAAGATAAACAGCAGTAAAGATAATATCCGAATGTGACTCTGAGGCCTGCGAACGTCAAGCAGGTATACCTTGAAGTCTCCAGCCTCGCAGACACAACTATTAAGAACCAACACGATCAGAAGTGCCTGGATCTGCAAAAAAATGTGCAGAAGCATAGCATGACCAAAACGGTACCCAGTAAGTATCAAGACTAACCTCAGTGGAGTAATGACGAGGTAAGTCGAGACACTCACTAGACATAAAACTTGTGCAAGATATTAACATAAAGCTAGCAATGGAAAGTACATCAATATAAGACCAACGACAAAAAGATTATTGATTTACAAACAACAATAAAGTAATAGAAACACAATTGGCAACAAGAAGTAAACAGGTAATAAAGTAGCAACATGATCACAACACAAATGAAATATGAATGAACTGAAATTAGAAAAACATATGACAATTCAAGTAATCAAATTGTTCCCAACGCATGATTTACAACTAGAATTACCCCGATACACCACACCCCGTAACCACAAATCATAAGCCACGATTCCGGATCTTACACGCATGGCACCTCGTACCCACATTGTCAATCACCTTCGCATGACAAAGTCCATGTGCTACCATGTACATTGCATATGTGTCAAACGCCAAATAAAATGTTCGAGAGGTTTTTTTTAAATATAATAAGGCATAGTAACAATCTTGAATAAAGTAAGGCGTCAAATGAGATAATGAGTTTATTTTAGAAAATAAAGTACAATTTATACAAAAATAGAGTATCAAATGAGTTTAGTTTAGAAATCAATACGGTAAAGTAAAATAGCGTCTTTAAATTAAGAAAAATATCAGATAAATTAACGAATTAAATATAGAATTTGTTAAAGTAAGGCGTGATAACAATTTCACGTAAAGTAAAACATCAAATAAGGTAATGAGTTTAATTAGAGAACCCAATTAAAGTAAAACGTGATAATCACTTAAATTAGCAAAGCACCGAGTGAGATAACGAGTTATATCTTAAGAGTCACATAAAATAAAGCATGTTAATAGTTCCTTTATTTAAAATTATTATGTTACCAACAACTCACGGAGTATGGGATAATGACTCCACACAACAAATTCGTCTAGAAACTCAATTCACCAACTAACACGGAGGCACATGTTGGCACATTAAAATAACACAACAAATCACGTAGAATGCATGACTCACATAAGAAGTCACAATTGTTCCCACACAAAAATAACAACAAACAACCAAATACAATCAAAATACAAGTGAGATGATTTAAGAAAAAAACCATAATCGTTCAAATCAACAAGTTGTTCAAATGTAGAGTGTACAACAAATACACACCGAGGTACCACACCTCATATTCACATTTCACAAATCACAATCACAATCTTTCCTTATATCGCTGCGTGAGCCTTACATTTAGAATTTTGAAAATATTTTTCCAGAAATAGTTACACGCGCTTTAGCCCTCTTATATTGTTGCGTGGTTTCAAGTAATTCCCTTACTAGCAACACGCACGTAAATCCCACCTTATGTCATTGCATGCATATCAACCCTTATCCTTATACCGCTGCATGCACATCAATATCATAACACAATAACATCTCGCACTACACGTGCCCATATACCACAACATGCCAAAAACAATAATATCAATATTACCATAACACATAGCTCACGGCTCAACCACAATGTATACAAGAATCTCAAAATAAACAAATGAATGAGAAATACTCAACAAGGAAAGATATCACAATAGTCAATAAGCTCAACCTCAATGTGCTAATAGCTTTCACGACTTCAACTTTAATAATTCAAACGAAAGTATTCCCACGAAATGACAATTTCTAATTCAAATGTATAACATAAGCTTAACAATGAAAGAGATAGTACGAAATGTTAACTACGTCTAAATGCATGAGAATAACTCAACACGAAGAGACTTCATGTAATAACAACTCCAAATAAGAATAACTCAACAATAAAGGAGGTAACATGACAATAACAGAGGTAACATCTTCAATTAAGGCATATAAGAGCAAATTTGATAATAAGAGATAGAACATGTACTAACAACGTCAAACAAGACATGTAAGAGTAAACTAAATAATGGAAGATATAGCATGATATGACAATTTCAATTAATGCATGAAAGAAGTCTAAGAGTCTAAACCGGTCAAAATACCACATATGAGCCCGCGTACATACTCTTCACCTCGTATACATATCTTTCACATAATTCAATTAATACAAACAATCCAAATTCTAAGGGGTAGTTCCCCTCCACAAAGTTAGGCAAGATACTTACCTCAACTAGGCCAATTCAACCCTTGAAAATAGCTTTTTTCCTAACATTTGCCTCCACACAGCTCAAATGTAACGAAAAATAATTTAATAAAATCAAATAATGCAAGAGAAACCAATTACAATAAATAAAGTTATGATCTTTACATTTTTTTCAAAAAGTCAACAAAAGTCAACACGGGCTCGTCCGAATCACATTTAAACACTTCAGATTACTTTCAAATTTTGCACACAAATTTAATTCAACTATATAAACCTATCCAAAGTCTCGGAACACCAATTGGCGTTCAATAGCATCAAAGTCAACTCTTGGTCAAACTTACGAACTCTTAAGTTCTTCAAATTGCCAACTTTCGATAAATAGTGTCGAATTCTTCTAGGAACCTCCGAAACCAAATCCGAATATGCGTACAAGTCCAAAATAATCATACGAACGTATTATCCAAAATAATCATACGAACCTATCTGAATAATCAAAATTCGCTTCCGAGTCCGTTTACCCAAAAGTCAAACTTTGGTCAACTCTTCTAACTTAAAGCTTCTAAAACGAGAATTATTCTTCCAAATCAATCCCGAAATGCTCGAAAAGTAAAACCAACCATACATGCAAGTCATAATACATAATATGAAGCTACTCAAAGTCTCAAACTATCGAATGAAACGCTAAAGCTCAAAACGACCGGTCGGGTCGTTACATTTTTCTTTTTCCGCCTGTCAAATGTCTAAATATTCCAATATAACAAGACAACCCTCTAATTGAATATGTAGTTTATTTGGTCCTCTGAGTTGTCATACACTTAAGAATTTATGCATATAGATTATTAGTAGTAGGATATGGAACTCATTTAGCCTTTAACTTTTAACCTGAAGCTATCTTTGGTTTTCTGCATTGTGTTCTACCAAATGGTTGATTGAAGACAAGCGCAAGAGCCAAATGTATTTGCGTTTTCAACTAATATAAAAAAACATCCAAGGAAAGGAAGTAAGCAATAAAAAGGAAACTAGGAAACAAATTTCAAGGGAAATACAAACTATGTCATGCTCATGGCAAAGAGTTATGTGTACAGATTTACAAACTCTAAGTATCACACAGAGTGAAGCTAAAGGCAAAAATACAGTATTTTATGACAAATGGAAATTGCAGAAAAACAAAGCGAAGTATATCAAACTCATATGTCACATGAACACCTTAATTATTCGATAACTTTCATTTGATCGTATTTTCTTTTATGCACACAAGAGAAACAAACACCTACATTCAGCATGAAGTTTATGGACATTGTACTATATATAGTTTACATTTTTGGTAGTTTTTAAGGGTCACTTGTTGATTTTTACAGGAGAAAAACAAGCTCCTTCTAAAACCTTGTACAAGAAAAAGCTAAACTGGACTTTTTCCTCTAACACTAAGTGGAAAAATGTATATATAGCACTTAACTTATTTTAGATTGGAAGTGAATATTATCATAGCCTTGGGCAACCAAAACTTCCATATTATCATACAGGGTAGATGGATTCTCTTCAGGAGTTGAAATGCTTGAATTTTGAGTGTCCAATAGACTTCTTGTTGTTCTTTGTTGTTGATCAAATATCATCTTCAACTGTTTTCCTTGTTCTTCAATCCTCAACTGTAACTTTCGCTGAATCTAGTTTAAAAGAAGACAATAGGAATCAAACAAGATGTCTTGATTTACTTCTTTTGGCTCTAGAAAATTAAAGTACCTCTAGTTGCTCGTGAAGACGCCTCTGGACTTCGAGTTGCATTTGCAGTGCTTCCTTGATTTGCATTCCTCTGCAACACAAGTTCGGATCAGATTTAGTTTCCTGCTAATTAAGTTTATTAGGAAAATTAACTGAGATGAAAAATATACGTTTTGCTGTCAATTTGTGACACATTATTCGGGTAGTTTCTCTTTTCAGATTTTCCTGCAACATACAAGGAGAAAAATGTGATCAGTCTACTTCTTAAAAGGTCTATTTGAAAATGTCTGAAGTTGAGTTATAGCATATAATTGAGCATGCCAAAGAAGAGATGCAAACTTCAAGCTATAAGCTAACATTGATAAAATTTCCATTCCTCAATATAGATTTTCTGATCACACTAAAATGAATTTTAAGATAAAGTAGTCCATCTTAGTATCCCTTTTTTACATGTTAGATCCACTTATTCCAACAATTACAGAAAAGAAAAGTAAAAAGAATACTTTTAAAATTAGTGCAGGAAATGCTTTTATGTTGTTTCCTTATTATATACCTTCTCACTGTAAGATTAGTATATGGAAAATTCTCTACTTTCCCTTTACTATTCTTCTTTTTAAATATGCATAAGCCATAAATGTGATTTCTAATCATTATAAGACCTGATCCCCTGGATGTAACATGTAATACTCATCGGATTAAAGTCGCTGAAAAGCTACTGTTGTTTGGCAAACACAACAAAAAACAAGATGTCTGAAATCAAGAAAATATCTAAAAAAAATACCAAGATGTCTAAAATCAAGAAAATATTTACAAAAAACAAAGATGCCTAAAAATCAAGAAAAGATCTCTTCCCAACCATGAAAACTTAAAAGTCAAATACACATACCATCTGTAGGTTCAGGGATGTACTTTGCATTTCGATATTTCTGCAAACAAAATAGATATGGCAACAGAAAATATTCCCTCAAAACTCAATACAACAGTACTGAAAAGACAACCAAAAGGAAGTTCTTTCAAATGTATAAATATACCTGCAAATGGCTTTTGACATGGAAAATGGTCAAGCCATCTGACTCCATCAGCTTTAGTATTGCCTTTGGTGTTGCCTCTGATAAGATGAATGAATCAAATCCTTAGTAACCAAATTGAAAATAGAAAGACCTGTTAGAAATTACTTACTGTCAGCGCCTCCAAGGCGGTTTACACACTCAACAAATCGATCGTGGAGATCTTGAGTCCATCTAATTCTTGTTTTGTTGCACACAGATCCTCCAGAACATGCAGAATTATTAGTATTAGCCGAAGGAAATCCTGATTGTTGCTTCATATATTCCAAGTGACTACCACATAAATTATGAGGGAGCTGTAAAAACATAACCAAAAAAAACAAAAACTCAAAATGGTGCCAATTTTAAGTGTTTAAAGCAGCAGTAGCTTTTCCACAACGAAGCAAAGTTACCAAAAAAATACTAAAACAAGAAGATATAAACAGAAGCTATATGTTTATAGTACTAACACTGAAATCTTGATTTCCATCAAAAAGCGTTGAAGCACTGTCGAATTCACCAAGCAATTTTCTCTTAAGATGCAATATTCTCTCTTTCTCTGTTAGGCTGCTGAAAGGACTTCTATAATGATCAGGACTAAAGGGTTGACTGCTCGAGAACTGTGATCTGATGAACGGTGGCAGGGAAATCTTGGGATGAAAATTTTGCAAAACTTCTGCCGATGAATCAGGCAAGAAACCATATGATGGTATTTGAAAATCATAATTCTTGGACAGTTGGGAACAATTATCTTGTTGATCATCATACTGTGTTAATCCCAGGTAACGTTCCGTGGCAAAGAAGGCTGAAGAGGGTGAACCAATACGACCGATGATAGTACTATTCAATGATGAATTAGCATTAGGAAAAATTTGTTGCTGCTGTTGGCATACATCTTCTGCAGAAGTTGCTGGTGGAAGACTAAATCCCATGTATGATGAAGATAGTTTTTGTGCATGTAAAGCTTGAACCGGCATTCTGGCGAATTCTAAAGTATAATCACTTGCATATGCTGAGTTTTTTGGCACTCTTTCTTGAGTACCAACCCTTTGGATACTCATATCCTAAACTATTCAGAGAAGCTACAACTTTATTTCTAGGAAAACTGGACTTGTATTGTTGAGTTTTGCACACTAAGTTACAGCAATAAACAGTAGTATTTGAAATTGAAAATTTCTTCTACTGATGAATTCCTCGAGACTCTGAGCTGTGACAAAAATTAAATAAAAAATAAAGTCGAGCGAGGATCAAGATTCAGATAGAAATAGAAATGCAGCACTGTTTGGACTGCTCCTAAATTCCTTTTATATGCTGAGAAGACTTATAAACAAGCTATGAAAACATGAATATGTCAACAACTTAAAAAAATTTCTTTTTAAAGTTTATTCTTTCATATGGTTAAGGGATGAAGAATCCTTTTGACAAAACCAAAGCCAATACATTTACTATTAGAACAAAACAAATGTCTCCTAGGTGAAAGATTTACTGTAACTAGACTTTGTCCCTTATATTATTAAGTTTTAAAGCAACTCCACCTGTCTTATTGAAAAACAGAAAAAGATACAGAATATCAGTAAAAAAAAAAAAGAAAGGAATATATTGCATATCAAACAATGATTCTTTAAAGTTCCTCTTAACATTAAGCTGATAAAAGGAGAATATAGTCTATGGGGGCATATATTCACTGAGCTATCATACCTAATTATTCTTATTATGGATGAGGATTGATAATTTGAAATTCTATTAGCCAGCACACACTCACACTAGGAGTAGATTTTCCATTACAAGTTGCATTAAGCAAAGTTGATCTTAAACACAAAGACGGATTTAGGACAGATTCTGTAGGTTCAACTTAACTCGTTGCCGAACCATACATACATGTTCAAATAAACAATTAAAATGATACACATATCAATACCACATACATTTTGTACCCACTAACTCTAGATCATGGATTTGCCTCTTCTTACAAAAGGAGATCAACAAAAATGTTTATGTGAGAATTGGCAAAGAATTGAACATTCGGGATAGACTTCAAGCTAAATCAAATAATTATGAAGTAATTAAGACCAAGAATATTATTGTTACATTAGAAATATTAATTAATAATGACATAATGAGCTTTCAGAGCTATTAGATAGCTTACAATCACGCTGTTTTTCTAATAGCTTAAAGAGGTAGTTGTAGGCTATTTATTTTACCAATTTTAATTAGGGTTTCCCATTTTGTGCTCTGTTCCTATTCTGCCGTTCATTTAATTTAAATAATATTCAAGTGGAAATATCAATTAGATACATATATAACTACCTTAAGCCAGTATTATAGCTGATCATTCAAATGATTGTTGAGCAAAGACATAAAAACACACATCTCCGAAATAGAGTATGATTCTTTAATCATTCCTCTTTTTCTTTATTTTTTTCATCTGACTCGGAGACAAGTCCACTTCATTATTATATTTTGCCAGTTGCTAATTTTCTATAGTGGTTAATGCCCCAAAACTTTATGGTCGTCGACTCGTCGTTGATTATATATTACTCAACCTTTTTTATTTTATTTGGCATATATCATTTTAGTATGTTGTGATGCTCATGATGGAGGGCTATAGATACGGGTGGGCATACAATCCGAAAAATTGAATTCCGAACCGAATTGAATTAATTTGGTATTTCGATTTCGATTTTTTCGATATTTCGGTATACTTCAGTACAAAAATTTCGGTATTTCGGTACGGTATTCGGTATTGAGTTTTTGATATTTTGGTATACCGAAATATTTAAGTCCAAGCCCACCTATATTTTTATTTTCCAGCCCAATAAGCCTAAGCCCAACACCCCAAGTCCCCTAAATCCTAATTCCCTAATCCCTTAACGGGCCTAGCAACCTCCTTAGGCTTAGAGACTTACGGGCAATAGTTTGAGAATTTAAAGAATCACTGTTTTTGGGGAATATACATTATACACCATCAATTTCATTTCTCTTCTCTGATTTGGCAATCAAAACAGTGTCACCGAACTAATTATTCTTGAAACAATGGCTTTGAGTTTTCCTTTGAGTGGTTGAATTCTCAGCAGAAGCCATAAGATATGTTAGGCAATAGGCAATTAGGCATAGCATAATCTTGGGAGATTTGAAAGATTTTGGTATAATATCGAAACCATACCGAAACCATACCGAACCAAATAAGAAAATACCGAACTGTACCGAACTACTTTGGTACGGTATTTGGTATGCATAATTGATATACCGAATACCGAAATACCGAACCGTAATTATTAAATACCGTACCGAAATACCGAATGCTCACCCCTAGCTATCGACGAGGACGGGTCAAGCAGGATTGGCCAGCTTCAAGGCTTGCAAGTTTCTCAAAAAAGATGCAAATATCGTTTTAGATGAATTTCACATTGAATGAGAGAGGAATATAAATAGTTTTATAAGGCACAACACAAGTTTACAAGGGCGCACATTTTGAGCTCGATGATGGCGTAGCTTAAGGGACAAATCCGTGAGATCTATTGGCCCAAAGCAGATGATGTTACCATGGACTTGGATCATGATAATTATGGTATCATAGCCCGACTCTCCCTCAGTATGGGACAAATCTCATGGAACGGAGGGCGGTCAACGAGGACAAGTCAAGCAGGACTGTCAATAGTCTGACATGATTATGAAGGAGTGTACATGTCATCTTAGTATCCCATTACATGACTTGTTTGGGATCTACTGATATCAAAATTCATTTGTTTATAAGGAGAAAAAAAATATGAAAATACACGTAAAACTCTAACCCATCACTCATTTAAAAGGAGGTACAATGTATATATTTGGTTTTTAAGTTATAACTTTATATATCAAAAATCTTTCTTTATGTTTTAGACTTTTTGTTTACGCGGAGGGAATACTTTTTAAAATTCCTCACTTTTTTCGATATAGCATATATATTCTATTACAAGTTTCCTAACATAATTCTTTTTTTTTCTATTGGGTTTTCGTCTTTTCCTTTTTACCAAAAAACAGAAAAAAGTAGAAATAAAACCAGACGCTAAGTTCATTAAGAGACTTTGCAAATTGCCTGCTTATTGTTTCAGCTAATAAATAATTACACTTATTATCTGGAAATTACATATAAGCAGGGGCTAATGTAGAGTATATTTATTGGGTTTATTTGAATTCAACAATTTTAGCTTAAACAATTTATATATGTTAAAAATTAACTAAGTATAAATAGTAAGTTTTTGAACATCTAATTATTTTTTAGATGAGTTGACAATAGTGCACTCATAGAGCTTTTAATACACCACGGGTAGCCAGGCGCTGTGCTGAATCCGAAGCTTCTCTTCACTAATTAGTAGACTTCGAGTATTACTACTTTGCTGTTAGTGAACCAGATTTGTATAGATCATGACAAAAAAAGAATCATCAGACTTTTTTCAATCAGAATCTATATCTATATTATTATAAAAGTATGAATAAAATATTGGATTACAAAAATAATCTTTTAATATTAAGCATAATAACTCACAATAAAAAGACATAATCGGAATTTTAGACATTAGCTTTTTCATTCTATTAGTTTTAGGACATGATATTACACGTTGGGAATCCTACATGATTACCTTTAGAAATTCTATTAGTATAATTATTTTCGGGTATAGATATATAATACTACATGTTAGCATGTAAACCTAATATCTTTAGGAACATGTTAGATTTTCTATTAGTATAATTACTTTCGGGATATGGACATATTTTTAGCCATGTAATCCTATTACTTTTAGGATATACTGATCACGCCCAACTCTAGTCCTAAAAAGGATAAGCGATCGCTGTAAATATAACCCGGTCTAAAAGTCCGGAGTCGAATCCCACAAAGAACTAAGGCTTCGCTATAATTGTTAAGTATCACTAAGAAGACAAGTTCGAATAATTCCTAAGTTATAAATATAAAAATTCATATGTTAAACTAATTAACTAACAAATTAAAGTAGTGAATTAACAACTAGAGATACGAGGGGTTGGAGAAAAGATTAAGGAGGTCTAGAGTAATGATTTCTCCAATTGTTGGAATCCTTCCCGCTAAATCTTCTATAATTTCGCCTAAGTATTCTCTATCGACCGTGAGTACTTTTGGTGTCGTAACTCTCTCTCGAGCAACTACCACAATTTACTAGACGTATTCTCTCGAACTACACTAGTTGGCACTAATTCACCGTTCACTACGATCACACCAAGGTTTCGTTATCTCTAATCCCGCCTTTAAACCCTCCGTATTGATCTCTTATATACGTTAGGAGTGATATTGTTCAACAACTACCTAAATGCGTACTATCTCTCGAGCAATATACACACTAAATAGGCACAGTCAATTGATGGCCATTCAATCAACAACAATAAACACGTAGTTGAACAAGTAGAGAAATCCAACGGCTCAATTATATAAAAACGTAATAAGAATTCATCCTACAAAAGGTTCCATCAAAACCCTAGATAACGAATTAGTTATTCGTAATAGTATGCAAAACTACAATACTAGAATTCGTAACCAATAATGAAAATAGGAAGAAGGAAGTAAAACACTCGTAGAAGAATTCTTCGCCTTGCTCCTAGTGTGTTCTTGCCTCCTTTGGTTGATAATCCTCTCTAAGAATGTCCCCCCCTCTTCCTCTTTTCTTTATCTAAAGTGAGTTTAAAGACTATTTATATGGGATAGGGATAGCATGCGGCGAAATAATACAAGCCCACTTTGAAATAGCGTTTTTAGGATAGCTCGTTCACTCTCTCGTGCGCACGCGAGAGCGAGCGAGCGAGCGAAGTTATTCTCTTTTTCTTTTCCTTCTAGGTCTCTCGTTTATTTCCATACCTTTTTGCCATAATCCGCTGTTTTTTTCTCAAGCTTTTTCTCAACTAGCTCGTTCACTCTCTCGTGTGCACGCGAGAGTGAACGAGCAATGTCTTTCTTTTGTCTTTTGGTCTCGAATCAACTTCTTTTGCTCATTTTTCGTCCAACTTGCTCCTACACATAAGAATGCACGTAATGAGCATAATTTACTACAAAAACTCATGTAACCTACCGTAACCACACAAGTTATGAGATGAAAGTACATCGAAAAATATGCATTTTGGCCGTTTATCAACATCCCACACTTAAACTTTTGCTCGTCCTCGAGCAACTTTCAAAATTAAGCACAATGGCAAGAAACCCATTTTCAAAATATACTCAAGCGTCATACCAATAACCATGGCTAATACCAACACTTAGAACTCAACATAATAACTATTGACATCTTTCTTCAAAAGTGGACCCATGCCAAGACTATTTAAAATATTTGTGCAACTTCTTCTAACATCCTAACCTCAAGAGATGACTCCAATACATTCCTTACTATGACTCACTTCTTGTGTCAACTCAAAATGCTTGGACTTTACCAATCCTTTGTAAATCATGTGCTCTCGCCACAATTAAAGAGAGAAATTAGTCCACACACTCAAATATGCATTTAAGTATAATTTAAGAACTTATACATCGAAAGAATTTACTCACTCTCACAAAGAAATTCATGTGCATCCTGAGGTTG